AAAAAAAAAAATAAAAAAAAAAAAAAAAAAAAAAAGACTGTTATACTCTTACAATAATAACTAATTATATAATATACAAAGATTACCGTAATTTTAGTTGACACGACTTATTTTTTCGTAGATTATACCGTATGCAATATGTAATTAATGATTAATAAGAAGCCTTTATTATAATTATTATAATAAACAATTTATAAGCGACTGACAATTTCACCGTCATGAGTGATTTTTTTTTTTTTTTTTACAACGCATATATATATATATATATATATTATATATGTATGACTGTATAAGTTTATAATTATAAATAAATTATGATATAGTAGTTATTGACGATTTATATATTATTATATTTTTTAGACAATCTTTACAGAAAAATAAAATACTTATAATAATAATATAGGTACTTACTCTAAAAATTATACACTCATAAAATACTATTGGCAATAATACATCACTCGCACCATGGGTTAAACATAAAATGTTCGATACGTTTCCGTTTTTCTATTCAAATTTTATAAGTGTACCAACCAACCATTTTTTTTTTTTTTTTTTTTTTTTTTTTTTTCCTTTTTTTCTACCTTTTTTTTGCGCTCTTGTACACCTGTGATTGAAAACAAAAAAAAACCATCCTATACTATAAACTATCTATTGGCTATAATAATATATATTATTATATAGTCTGCGGTTTAATTTTTTTTTTTTCTATCGACCATATTTTTTATACCTACGTATAAAATATATTACAATATAAATAATAATTATATTTATATCTTACACTACCACCACACGTACAAGCGACAAAATGTATTTATTGTCTGCATTATAGGTATAGGTACCTATAGTCTTTTTTTTATAATATATTTTAATGTTTATTATCACATTGTATTCATATTCAGATAAAAATATATAATTATGTATTTACCAAGTTTATAAAAGTTCAAAGTAATCAATAATTATCTACTATTATTTATCTTATATACGAGAAACTGAATATTAATATAATAAAATATGGAAATGCTTATATTTTTTTGACAGGAAAAACACAGAATCATTTTTTTATCGTACATTTTACACGTATAACATAACTATAATATATTATTATTATTGTTATGAATTAAATGTTTTAAATATTATTATAATATACGCTATGTATAATAATACTACTCGAGTAAATTATTATAACGTAATATGTAGACGTTTTCACTTTATTTTTTCTATTTTAAATCATATCAAAACAAACTAAAAAACTTGTTTTTCGAATCTTTGAAATCATTATATTATTAGTCTTATATTTATATATTACCTATTAATTATTATATAATAAAATGTACATAGTAATAATATTATTATCATTATTGTACCTACATATAATTTTTGTTTTTGAGTAAACATTATATTAAAATTATTTGTAAAACATTGGCGTTGACCAATTTCTCGGTGTTACAAGTTACCTAAATAGCGTAAAAATAATATAAAACTGCTATAAAACTAACCTATAAAATATTATAATGTATGTTTCAGCAGTTTTACAATAGATACTCGTAGGAGTTAGTACAGATCATATTATATTCCATTTTTGCTTTTTTGGTATATTTATGATATGTATTAAAAAACAAATGTATACATACCTATTATATTATTATGTATACATAATAAGAAGAGTGTATTTTATAATCATTTTGTTTTTACATTATACGTACAGTCTATAAAATATGACATGATTGGTTATTTAAAAAAACAATATATTATTAATTATATAATTATAATCTAATTTTAGTTGTTTGAACATTTTTTCTAAAATAATATTATATACCTATAAACTTCGATAAGAAAATTTTTATTTTAATGATGTTTTGTTATAAAAAAATATTAAAT